GCTTAGAAGGCCCGTCAAGCCCTACTTTCCCCTTCACTTTGTTAATTCTTATATAACACAGTAACCATTTATAGTCTTTTTATAGATGTACTTCAAGTTTATATAGCGTTTCTACAGTAGTACTAAAAACCCTAAAAAAGAGGGTACGAAAATGCACAATACGAACAAATCAACAACAATTCATGCAGAAAATTTGATCTCAAATGAAATGAAAAAAATATTAAAAGCAAGAACTGTTTATTAATTGAAATAATATCTTTTATATGTACAATTCCTACAAAATATTAATAAGCTACATTTAGTGTAAAAGCAAAGCATTTTAAATACTTGATAAAACAAAAGCATTGATAAACTGCCATTACACCTCGTAAAAACTTTTTAAGCTTCTAAAAAAATACACAATTCTACCAAACTTAGATATAAAAAATAGCAAAAGATCACGAAAAGTATTTACCAGTACGGTACTAACGTACGATAATAAGTTTAGTGTCAGCTGTTGATTATCATCTTGAAGATCGTACTTACCAGAAACTTGTTTTAAGCTCTTTTCACTCATGGAACAATTAGCTTCTATAAATGATTGTAGATAGTTGATGTTGTCTTTGCATACGTTTTCGAATTCAATCTGTAAAAAAATTTTTCTAGTGATTATTGTTTTATAAAAGTAACACATAGAACACCTTTTTTTTCTTTAATACTAGGAATTCAAATTGCGCGCTCTAATTCTGAACCAATAAGGATTCAGGGTCCATATTTTTGAGTTATTTCGATACTAAGCTAACTTCAATCAACCATCAAATTTAATATTATAGCATAGGATTGGTTAATATTAACCCGTTCGATTGACATTTTAGTAGATTTCATAACAATCGAACTCTTGTTTATTGTTGATTATTTTTATGATGAAACTTTTTAAAAATTTTGCTACTTTTCGACTCAGTTCGTCAAGCTGATTTAGAAAATTAATATAGTTAATGTACGATATACCGCGGTTTGTCAAAACGATAGTGTCCACAATTCTTGACAGATTTTAATGAAGCTCAGTGTATTCATTCATTAGACGATTATCGAGAAATCGGTTAGATTAGAAATGACAAAAATTTTCAATTTTCGTAAGTTGGAAAAAATCCAACTTTTATAGGTTCTTCTCGAAACAACTTTCAATACTATAACTTATCAAATATCTGTAAATCGCATCTGAAAGCTTGTTAAATAAGCTTCAACTGTCATATCTTTTTATTTTCCTAGACAGAAAATGATGACCTACAGATTTGTCAATATTTGATGAAATTTTACTATTTCATTTGTTTTTACGGCCTTGAAATTTTATAGTAACTCCGAGAAATCTTCCATTTCAAATACCAAATGACTTTTTTGTTTTGTCTTTGTAATTTTATGAATTTCATTAATAATAAAAAATGGTAGATTGAAATCTTTTTTAGGTATGATTTACGATTTTACTAGCAGCGAAACCCGGCGTTACTCGGGTTAAAATACATCGCATGTTTAATCGCTTAACAAATATATAAGGATACATTTTTTAACGTAGAGATATTATAGATATCTATTTTAAATTTTGAGAGACGTATTCGGCCATTAAACATACGGCGTATATAGAGTATATCTAATAGAGTAAACTATTTAACAAATTAACAGATCAATACAAACAGTTTTACATATTTCGGAACTTTCTAGATCATTCCGAAAATTTTTAGAATTTTTTGGAACATTCCAGATCAATTGTCATAGTTTGCACTTATTTTAGAATTTTATAGATCATTTGAGAAATTTTTAGGACTTTCTAGAACATTCTAGATCGATAATAACAGTTTTACACATTTTGGAACTTTTTAGATCAATCCAGAAATTTTTTAGAACTTTCTAGAACATTTCAGATCAATTGGAGTAGTTTGCACTCAGTTTAGAATTTTTTAGATGATTCTAGAAATTTTTAGAACTTTTTCGAACATTCTTAATCGATTATAATAGTTTGCACTCATTTTAGAACTTTCTAGATCAGTTCAAAAATTTTCAGAACTTTTTTAAACATTCTAAAACGATTACAATAGTTTGCAATCATTTTAGAATTTTCTAGATTATTCCAGAAATTTTTACATCTTTCTAAAACATTTTAAATCGATTACAATAGTTTACACTCATTTTAGAACTTTCTAGATCATTTGAAAAACTTTTAGAACTTTCTAGAACATTCCTAATAGATAAAAACATTTCTACATATATTGGAACTTTCTAGACCATTCCAGAAATGTTGAGATCTTTTCAGAAGTCCTTATGCGTTCGAAAAGGACAGAAATATATATTTTCACATTTTCGCCACCCACAACCACCCACTTCCATCCACCGCGACCAAACTCCCTTGCTACCACCTGGAGACCAAGGGGTATTTACAACCCTAACAGGAAGTCGATTGTAATTGGTGGTGATAGAGAAAACCCCGGCTTATATATATATATATATATATATATATATATATATATATATATATATATATATCCTACATTATTTTATAAATTTTAAATTAATTAAAAATTTTTCATTAAAGATGATGAAAAAAAAACGATAGAAATATTTTAATTAAAAAATTTTCAAACCGGTCAAAGCTGTAAAAAAGTAAATGACGAAAAAATTTGAACTAAAACTGGTTTTGAGCTCAAACAATGTTGTTCATCAATGTGTTGTAAGTCAAGCCTCTACATAAATAAGGACATATAAGTTTTTATTCTCACATATACAATTATATACATCTTTTTCTTTTTTGCAGGTATTATTATTTTTATTTATACCTTTTAGTAACGTTACTATAGAAAAAGGAATTACACTGACAATATTAAACACTAATTGTCAATTATCGCGATAATATATTATAATACAAAATTCTATATCAAATCTTGTAATGTTATCTATTTTATCACACAATGGGATCACTACATCTGAAAATTGTACTCCTATTTTATGATCAAAGTTAATCACTATAAGCATTTTGAAATCTTTTAACAACGGGTCCAATCTTTTTCTATCCTTGCACTCATCGAGAGAAACCGTACTATATCTTTGTCGCACTTGCAACAGCAAAGCTATTGCAGATTCATTAATTGTTCTTAAACAAATGAAAATTTCGTAAATAACTCTCTGATAGAAAATAAACATTTTAAAAATCTTCTATCAAACAGATTACGGGACTTTTCTCATTTTTCTCTTTTTCTCATTTACCCTGGTAGCCAGCGCTTTCTCAGTAAGCGTTGACTTCCAGCAGTTACGGTTAATTTATACATCAAGTTGGCGGTAATTCTTCACTCAACAACAGTTGTAAGCAAATTGACGGAAATCTACGGCCGCAACTTGAATACAAGTTAACAATCAAACTTATAGTTAAATTTCCTTTCAACTTTACTACAATTTGACGGAAATACTTGTACAGCAAGTTTTGACGTCTATTTGGAGAGTAAGTTATAGGTAACTAATAGGTAATCGCTCGCTTTGCCAACTCTTACCGACAAGTTTGCTTCAAATTGCGAACGTAGATTGACAGTAAGTTATAGGTAAGGTAGCTATCAGGGTACTTGCTTAAAGATTGAAGAGAAAATTTCCTTATCGATCATGTGTAGTGATGTAATATCCACGTTCGATAATAAGGACATTAGTTAAGCGAACGGGCGGTAGAACAGAGTTCCAGAGGTACAGTTGTTTCGAAGCGATACTGATATTACCAATCGTGGATTATTCAGAAATTCATGATGACCGAAAATACACAGTGCCCTGATAGCCACCTTACCTATAACTTACTGTCAATCTACGTCCGCAATTTGAAGCAAACTTGACGGAAAGACTTGGCAAAGCGAGCGATTACCTATTAGTTACCTATATATATATATATATATATATATATATATATAAGTTATTTGATAAAACTGCACGGTGTTTCAGCGACCCTAGTGTAATTTCATTATTTATTTAAAAAACGCCGGGGAGTTGAGCTTTTTTATTATTATTTTCGTAATCAACGGATCTTTTTACATAAAATGAAAAAATAAAATTCCACTAGCGTTACTTCTACGACGGGTAAAAATAAAGTCAGTGGACTATTAGTAACTTTTAGTGATTTGTTTCGTGGATCATGAATAATACAAACATAAAAATAAAATTAGTATTTACATTTTTTACATAATTTTTTTAAAGTTTTTTTTAATTGAAAATTTTAACTTTTTTTTTGTTTTATTGTACTAAACTTCTTGCACGTTTATAGCGCAAACGTGCGGCACTGTGCTCTCGTTTCCCTGATAGCCAGCGCTTTCTCAGTAAGTGTTGACTTCCAACAGTTACGGTTAATTTATCCATCAAGTTGGCGGTAATTCTTCACTTAACAATAGTTGTAAGCAAATTGACGGAAATCTATGGCCGCAACTTGAATACAAGTTAGCAATCAAACTTGTAGTTAAATTTCCTTTCAACTTTACTACAATTTGACGGAAATACTTGTACAGCAAGTTTTGACGTCTATTTGGAGAGTAAGTTATAGGTAACTAATAGGTAATCGCTCGCTTTGCCAACTCTTTCCGTCAAGTTTGCTTCAAATTGCGGACGTAGATTGACAGTAAGTTATAGGTAAGGTGGCTATCAGGGTACTTCTGTCTAATTCTCATCGGCAGTCGGTATAATTACAGTCGGTAATTCTCATTACTTCTGCACATGATATTTACCCTGATAGCCAAACCGGTCGCAACTTTCCGTTGATTTGCTGCAGCAACTTGTCACCAAGTTGGCGGCAAATCTTGGAAATGAACTCGGTTGTTCACCAAGTTGTCGGCAGAAATTGCTTTCGAAACTCTTTCGCACCAAGTTGACGACAAGTTTCTCGAGAAATTTGGCGACATATTGCGGCAGTAGATTGGTCTTGTTTTTCTCAGAAACTTGTAGCCAACTTGACGCCAACAGTTTCAAATTCGGAAGTTGACCGCAAGTTGTCGGTAAGTTGGTGGCAACTATCTGACACCAACTTGGTTGGTCTGAAACTGTAGCTATCAGGGTAAATTTAAATATTTTTATTAATAAATAAAGAAAGGTAATATATTTTTTGAAAACATTGGATCACCTGTTACAGAAATTAAAACTAAAAGTTTTTGCAAGTGGTGTAAAAAATAGACTTTATCATTACTACTTACATGATCTTTTATTGTCTTCATATTAATATTATTGCGAGTTAGATGATTTTCCATGACCATTAATTTTCTATACGACTTTTCTAAAACATGACGACACCCTTCACTTTCACTATCACTATCATTTGATGATATAGTTGAAATATTCTGAAAATGAAAAGATAAATTAAATAAAACATGATTATAATCTTTTTGTAAATAATTAACCATATTTTTTTATAATTACTTACAGAATAAATACGATTGGTTATAAGTGGTGGTGAATACGATCTTACAGCACTTAAGCTAGAGGCACAATCAGACTGGCTATCTAAATAATTACGATAGTCGTCACCAAAATCAAGAAGCTTGCGAGCTGTTTCTACATCAGCAGTTTCGCTGTATGGTTCACTCATGTATTTTTCTTGATAACTATCCCAAGCTTGTTCGGAAAACGAATTGTTGCCTAAGCTATTTTTCTCAGCATCACTATCACCATTGATTGGGCTATTGACTTCATGTCTATTCATCAAAATATTAAGTGAAGTTTCATGATCTGTAGGGCAAATATCTTCTGTACCCCCGGATGATGGATCAGGTGTACAACAAGTTAATTCTATTGATGGTGATGGATAACCCACAAAACTTTTAACATTATTACCATCATTATGCACATGACACGATAGTGTAGAACCATGTGTTAGTAGTGACACCAAACAACGATGACAATCTGGTTTCTTGAAGCGCGTTCGTTCTTCGGTGACTTTTTGTACCGGACGGTTATGATGGGTTCCACTAGAATCGCTTGCACCAGAATTTACTCCATCTGAACTGGATTCACTTCTACGACTCTAAAAAAAAAATGAAAAATATTATTATAATAGATTGCTTCATTTTATGAGTCATTCTACAAAAAGCGGTTAACTTCGCATAATTGCAAGCATATTAAATACTATCTAACATATTTGATTTTTATAAATATCAGTTAATTAAGAAAATTAATCATTTTTATAACAAACAATAAACACTAAAAATTTTTTTAAGCTATAAGATTTTTAGAATTCTTCTCCATTTCGTTAAAATCTTAAATATTTTATTCAGTGCGGCAAGTTTATGAATTTTAGTTTTATTTCAATTTATAACACTTTTTTAAATTCAATGTAGCACACTATGACTTGAAGCATCAGTCTATTCTCCTGGCTCATTTTGAATTTGGAAAATATCTAATACTTAAAATATTGAGAAATTATCTATCTCAAGTGTGTAAAAAGCTGGCATTGACACAGTCCAGTATTGGCAGAAATCATTTAAGCAACGAGACTTATTTATAGTGCTAATTTTTGTTTTTTTTTAACTTCCCGCTAAAAAAATTGAAAATTTTCAAAAATCGGGAAGTTATTGGTTTTACCCCATTTTTCGGAAATCGAGTTTTCAACGGATGTTGACGTTTTGAGGTCCTAGGAAGCCTCCCCGAATGTTTCCGCGGTGATGTCCGTATGTCTGTATGTATGTATGTATGTATGTGTGAGTGTGTGTGTGTGTGTGTGTGTGTGTGTGTGTGTGTGTGTGTGTGTGTGTGCGGTGTGCGTGCGTGCGTGCGTGCGTGTCGTGCGTGCTCGTGTGTGTGTGTGTGTGTGTGTGTGTGTGTGTGTGTGTGTGTGTGTGTGTGTGTGTGTGTGTGTGTGTGTG